ACCTTTTGAACAGTTTCCTGCACGAAAGCATCCGATTTGTTCGTTACCTACATTTCCTTATCCCCGCTGTGTCGCATTGTCTCTCTCTGCCATTCCGATCCCTAGCAAGGTAAAACCGCGTGGCAGTCACGTAAGCGGGACCTCTCCGCGAAGAGGACACGGATGCCTCGGTCTACCGGTATTTAATTAAGCCCGGTCGTTCGTGAAAAAAAGTCGTTGGTACAGGAAGCGATGGGTTTCGAGTACGCGAGCAGCGGACCGTAGTTCGAGCCCCGTTACGGGACAAATGCATTGGCGTAGCCTCGATCGACCACCATAACTTCGCTTTTATACGAATAATCCCGACACGGTAGCGTACAGACCACGCCGTTGCAGAATGCCGGTGCAACCTCTCCAAGGTATTCCAAGGGATCGCGAACTATGTCGACCTTAAAAATTATCGACACGAGGCAAGAGAGTAATGGTTAGAGCGTAACAACGGCTTTGTCTTTGTCGCACGATCTCCTTTTCACCTCTTATCTCGCTCTATCGCCACGAAAGGCAAAACGATCCGCTGTTTTTCACCCCGACAAGAAAATGAACGGTCGAGGAACTTCGAATCGTAGGTCGATCACGACGCGTGATCTCTGACTCGGTACATTTCTTGTCTTATTGGATACACGGAGGCAATTGTACGTGATTTTATTAGGTAAATAAAATGTACGTCTGCCCTGATTCTAGAAGGATTTTATCCCTGTTACGAGAATATGGCTGATGCGTAACTTCGGTATAATGCCTAAACGCGATATACTACGTACCAACGAAATTCTTCTATGGTTCTTCGCTTTATTCGCTCGTTTTTTCAAGCCTCGGGGGACATATTCTCACGAAATCCGGTTCTACTGGTTTGGGGTTAGATACGAAGGTGAAGTTTAGCTGCAGTGGCCCGAGAAATCGGCACCTCTGCTGATTACTACACAACATTGCATCGCATTAGATTAGTTCGTTTATTACGTAAAAGAATAGGGCTCGGCTGTAATAGCTGACGGGAGAAATTGAGACATTACATTTAGATACCAAAGGTAATTATTGAAATTCTTAGTCAACGTGTGCAACGAGAAAGGCGTGCACCATCCAGATAAAATAAAGACAATTAAGTTCTTGGAACAAAAGGGAAAATGTAAGGCTACACTAAGAAATTTGCCAGGTACATCCTAATTAACTCGACCTACATAACCGAGGTCCGTAAAAGGCAACGATGAAAAGAGATACGAGTAAATCGATGGTCCTCATTAGTCGAAACGTGAAAACGTCCTAATTTTTGATACAATAATCTCTATTAACTTCTCGCAAGTATATCCAATAGGAATTGGTCATTTATCGCTCGTTGGAATGTAATTTAGAAGGAATATCGCTTCTTTTCCTCGTTTTCCTAGCTCGATTCATACGAATAAATGAGAGGACATTAGTGGCGCGCACATTACTGGCTGTCACGTTCGCCAAGGGGATGAAATTTATTGCCTCAAATTGGTCACAAAATACGCCATAAGTCTCGTACAATTTACGACTGTACTAGCAATGTTGACGACGCAACCCGCGAAATACGTCTCTCTCATATAATATTATACGAGGGCAATACGAGAGACCGGGTGCATTTAAATATTCATACGCAATGCATCACGCACCATACATCAGCTCGAGGCTGCGTGTGTTACGACCACGAAGCCGACCAAACGTACATACAGTATTCCTTTAATCCTTTCATTCACCCGTACGATTTTTAAGTAACAGACAACATTTTTGTCTTAAGTTCATAACTTCCCTTTCCCCCCTTTTCATTTCTCCCCTTAAAGAAATATTTCCTTTTGCAAAAGTCATTTTTAATAAATTTTTCAAGTAACAATAGTCAAATTTATAATAAAGTTTACTATATTTGTTTTTAACAATTAAAGAAAAGTATTGTTTCAATACCTTAGATTGTTAATAGTATTTGTGATACTTTTTCATCCTATATGTTTCATACAGCTAAACGCTTTCTCCCTCTCAACGGGTTGTTAATTTCTCTCCGTAAGAGCCACGGCGGTAGGTTTAATTAAAAATTGAGGTGGTCAGAATATCAGGTAGAAGAATAAATTTAACGCGTACCAGCCATTAATTAGTGTACCACTTGCCGGCATTCTTGTTGTACAAGGCGGACGTTGCGTACACGCAGAAGGTGGGTTCGGAAAAAAAGCTACCACAAGTGCACCGATTTGTTTGTCCTGAGCTGGTGTAGTATGTAAAAACTGGGAACAGTAGTGCATAAAATATGCATAATACGTTTTCATTGGTACCATCAAGCTCGACCATTTATCTTTGTGAAAATTTTCGTACACCAAGAGTATTCATGAACTAGCTCTGTGCAATCATAAAACAAGGAGACGTGATTGCTGGTTTGAAGACATTATTTATAAATGGAAATCAAACATTCATATTTATAAAGCCAACTAGTTTAAGAACCTGATATTTTTTATTGAAAATAAAAAGTGAAGGTGCTGAGGGAGTCAGGAAGGGGTGCGCTACTTGAATGCTTAACGAACGCCCTACTGTCGGTACGCATTGTGGGTTGAATACCATAAATATTTCACCCACGAGAATACTATCCTTTACGCCTGGGTGGCGCGTTTCATGTATCAAACTCATTACTTTAATTCTACGAATTTCGATGCCACGTGTACCTGCGCATCGTTAAGGTTTTGCGCTTTCGAAGGACGCGAACAACGAAGTAAGTGGCGTTCAATTATAAACGTAAACAGAAGTCGCGGCATCTGATATTGACAACACCAATGTCACGAAACTCGATATCGGGAACCGGCTTAATGGGACACGATAAAGACGATCCACGTAGCCGTGGGATCCGATACAAAAGAGCCCGGACCCATGGGAATCGACAGCGACGATCTTGAACACGTAGGATCCAATACTAACGACCCCAACTTCTTAGAATGCAGTACGAACAATTTCGAACTCGTTAAATGCCATCGAAACTATTCTGATATCATTTATTTAGGGTCTATAAGTTCGTGTATACAAGCAAAGGGATCGAGTTTAAACGTCTGAAATGTGTTAAGATCTCTGAAATTCTGGAAACTAAGAAGGTTTAGAACTTTAGGGACCAACCTGATCAAAAGAGCGTGATTTGAATCAAGGCATTCTAACGAGGACTTCGTGATTCGAAACATTACATAATCTCGGGATATATCAGGACCCAACAGGATCCCCTCAGTTGGAACTTCCTAGAATCCCCAAAGGCTCTGGAACCTCTTATCATTCCAATCCAACAATTTCTAAGAATAGCACGAAGTAGCATCACACGACCGTTTTTTCTATGCAGTACACAGCTCAATTTGTTATTCCTTCTAATGCACCAGTCGGAAAACACTTCGAAGAGAATCCTAAACACGAAGAGAAGTGGTCGCGGTAAGAACTTGCCAAGAGAAACAATTAACTCTGCACGAACACATTTACAGCTGCTGAGTTTCGCGAGCAATGAACTCATGGGAAATGCTCGAGCCGTGCCATGAAGCTACTACAAACGCTCCCGATCTTCATTACTATGTGTCTAGTTACTTATAGCGTTGAACTTGCATATTTAACACATAGTACTAGCAAATTGTTCAGGTGCAAACACCTTGCATCAATAAAATCAGTACATTCATAGTAGTTCAATAATTTTTTAGTTTAGTGAAATGAATTTATTTCTGAACTTGCTCGAGAAATATGTAGTTGGATGAAATTTTTGCTCGCTTATACTCGATCGTATTTAGTGAAATTTAAGAATTCTTCTTTCTTATGTTAATGCCCTCCTTCCACGCATCTTTGCCCATTGTATGCGTATTGAAATTGTGTTTAACCGAATACATAAAGTAGAGAATAAAGCCACATTAAATATAAAGATACAACGGGATATTGTGCTTGATACTTGAATAGGTGGTTGAATGAACGACTGATTGTTTTCGACGATTACACATCGTGTCGACAATTAGTTCAAGTAAAAGGAAACGTGAACATCGTATAGTCTCTGGCAAAAAGTGAACCAAAATGATTGTCTACCAAAGTTTTTTTTTTTTTAAAGAATCTTTATGTATACAGACACGTACACCTGGGAAACATACCTCGTCAAGGAATTCACGAACAATGTGCAATAGAGTCTCGTACACACGTAGCTCGAGGAATTTTTAAAAGAATTTTTCTAGGCACGCACAATGTGCAGCAGATCGGCCAAGTGAGATACAGCGAGTGGGAATACAGAAGAGAAGCCTCTATAACGGTATAAAATATAGTCGAATTGTTGCTCGTAGAAAACAAGAAATGGAGCACGCGGTCTTTTTCCCCCGAGGACGATCTAGATTACAGAATAAAACGCGCATTACGAAGGGGGCCACATTTCCTCGTGGTATCTGTAGGTACACTGGATACAAGACGAGATTTCCATACGACTTTATTTCAGAAACTCGTTCTTCTATTTGTACACCACCTGACAACAGAACCGTTTTCATAAAATCTATATTACAGGGAAAGTTTGAAAATATTTATGATAAAGAAATTCAATTGCAACATGTATAGGTTTAAATAAATTGCATCCGTAATGTACTTACATGATGTTTCATTCCCATTAGATAGTATAATCTTATTTGCAAATAACGAACAACAAACTGCCACCTTTTTGTCAATTTGAAATTTTCGCACGGCACCATTAACAATGATCTCGAGTCTTAAGTAATATCCTGCAGTGACAGCAACGGATATTACCTACTTCGACTTCGTACAAAATAGACGTTGCGATCCTTTCCGATGCTCATTGAGAAACGCTATTCGAATAATATCCTTAGCAATAATTGCTTCGGTCACGAAGACGGCAAGCATTGTTTCCGATGTCTCAATCCAGTTACCAGAACATTTGATCGGTCCTCTTTAGTATCGGGTACCATTTTTATGATCTAGCTATGTTAGACATTGAAAATAGACCAATAGGTTTCAAATTACACTTTGTAAATGTTTAGTATATTTGGCATGCATCATCTGTTATATATAAAATTACATAAATTACATAAAATTTCAAAATTTCAAACTAATATTTAATCTGTAAAACGTAATCTGTAACATATTTAAAATATATATACATAACAATAAATTACAATATGTGGCACTGACAGCGACAACAGTCACCAGTACACCTATAAGATTTCATAAACTTCAGTTCTGGAGATGATCGGGCAGGTCCTAAATTCAAAGAATCCTCACTCTCTTCACTTAGCTCTTCAATGCTAAATGTGTCAGTAAGATCTTGTTTATGCTTTGAAGAATCTTTTGATTTATTTATTGGAAAGAGAGTCATTTCACCTTCACTAAAAATACACAGGTACATACTATTGAAATCTATATACATTACATAAATTTATACATACCTTTCACTGTCACAATGCCAATACTCAACAAGAGGAAGATGTTCCTTATTTTTATTTGGTATAGGAAGTCTTTGAATGGATATTAAACCAGTTGTGCTACTACCACCTCCACATCCCTTATCATACTTTGGCAACTTTACATAATCTGAGTTACGTTGAATACGCTTTGCTTGTTCAATTCTTGCCTCTGTTCAAAATAAAAACATGTTTATAGAAAGTTATAAATGATACCATGTGTATAAACAACAAATTAATAACAATACCTAGCTTCCTTTGTAGCTGCTTAGTAGTAGAATTATGTTGTAATGTTTGTGTCTGATTGCTGCTAGAGCTGCTATCACTACCCTGAAAATGTATAAAATATAATGTATTATTGTATATTTCTCTATTCTCTAAATAAAATATAAAACATGCCTTTGTGGTTTACAGAATGAATAAAGAAATGTAAGGAATTGTGTATTTACCAAAAAAAGTCTCTCATCTTCTACATGACTAGTAGTTTTTGGATCACTATCAATTCCGCTATCTTCCATCACAAAATAAAAATATATACTAAACTAAAGACTTATTCTCACAACTCATCTGAAATAAAATGTAACATATTTTCAAACCAATAACTAAAAATTTGTTACACACAATACCATATTAATATAATGATATTTCATGAAATCATTGCTAAAGCAATATCTTCTATTATATGAATGTTTAACAACAGTGCAAAACTCCACCTTTATACACTATCATTTGTAACATACAGGCACTTTGAACAGATACTTAAAGAATAACAATTTATTCTGCAATATATTATAATGTATAAATAATACATATTCTATTACATAAACACATGCTTATTTAAAAACAATTTGGAAATTTTTACTCACAAATATTTACAAGTTATTCTGACTTATCTACAAGTAGCAAGCATGTTTGCATTATCATGGTATGACCCATTATTGATTTTCTTCCATCTATATAACCACGCAAAATATTTGAAAATTGCGACCCTTATTCAAAATATAATCCTGTATGATTAAATAAACATGTTGTTTTTGAAAGAAAGATCATACATTGATTATTGGATGTATCAAATACTGCTTACTGTATACATGCACTTATATATACATATGTATAAGAAAAATTCTCATTATATTTAAATTAAACGCCTTTGTAAATATTAATAACGCAATTTTAATAAATTATCATGCACTATCACGTCCTTTTTTTAAATGGTATACAAGTTATTGTATAACAATATAATAAGTCTCCTAGGAAACCATAACTTATTGTTCTTTGCTTACTATATACACATATTGTATAAAGCAAAATAGTTTATTTCAAGGAAAAATAGATAACAGAGAAGTACTAAATTGAGCTGTTTGTACATATAATTGAATTATAAATAATTTATAACACAAGAACAATGCCTTTCACAAATATTAGAGGGACTGTATCCAGAACACCAGACTTAGTAAAAGTTAGTATTTAAAGAAAAATTCAAATATATTGAAAGAAAAATTAATAATCATTTATTATGTGTATTTAGCGCCAAAGTTTTATGAAAAGTCGTGTAGACCTAGGTGGTGGTGATGTAGATTGGATGCGAGGAAAAGGCTTTCTTAAACCAGAAGATCAGTTACAATTAGCAGATGCAGTATGTCCAGCTTCCTTATACTAACACATTCTATAGCTAAACACATTTTTCATTTTAAAAATAAAATTTTAGGAATTACAAGAAGAATTTGCAAGAGTTTTAACTATACATAATACAAGAGTTCCAGATTCTTTAATTGAATGGTCATGGAAATTTAAGAATTTTATAAAACTACCTCCTCCACCACATTTAGTAACTCTTTTAAATGTACCTGGAATGATATTACATAAAGATTCAGAAGAAGCAAAAGTACAGCTGGCAGGTGGACTTGGTAAGACTCCATAGAAAACATTTTAAAAAATTATAATTAATATAATATCCTAACAGATAAGAAAATTGTTAATATTTCATTATAGTGACAGACATAGAAGTACCAGCTCCTCAAAAGTTTGAAGAAGATGATGAAGCAGAAGAGGGAGAAGAAGAAGAAGAGGAAGAAAGGGAAGAAGGGGAAGAAAGAGATGAAATACAAGAGGGTAAAATTAACAATGTACAGAATAGAAAATTGTATAAAATATAAGTGCTTTTAATTGCAGAGGAATTACCAAAGCCAACGGAAGTCGAGGCAGAGCATAAAGAACCTGAAGCTGATCAGGAACATGAACCAGATGAAGAAGAAATAGAACACATAAAACCTAAAAAATTACCAAATCAATTTAACTTTTGTGAAAGAGCTGCTTTGACTTACAGTAATCCTCTGCGAGTGAGTTTATACAAATTTAAATCGAATAAAATATGATATCTATATTTAATTGTTCTAATTCTACAGGAAATGAGTACCCAAACAGTACCACCACCAACAGCTATATTTAATACTCATGTTTTTCAATGGACAATCTTTGATGAATACCAGGCATGTATTCTACATAAATTTAATTAGAATTACATACATGAATTACATGTCCTAGTTTATATTATAGGAAGATTTTGCTCAACAACAACGTGAAAGAGAAAAAGAAAGAAGAATTCCAGTTGTACAACCAAAGAAGGAAGATTTAAAGAAGAAAGCTCAAACAGAATCTATGGCACTAATGTCGAGAATGTTACAAGCTGCAAAAACATTAGAACGAATGGTGAACCAAAATATTTTTGATGAAATATTACAAGGTCAATATTTTATTTAATTATAGTTACAAAATTGTATCTTATTCCGTAATATATTTATCAAATAATTATAGATTACAGATATTGGGATGATCCAAGTGACGAATTTAAGAACGGAGAAGGCTCATTGCTACCCTTATGGAAATTTAGTTACGAAAAAACTAAAAAGCATCATGTTACAGACTTATGCTTTAACAATAGATATTACGATTTATTTGCAGTATCTTATGGAACAAGTTAGTAGAACAAATGTTCTTATGATTTAAGTATATTATAAACACCTATGTATTGTTTCAGTGTCATTTAGTAGTATGATAACAAACGGAGCAATATGTTTATTTAGCTTAAAAAATCCATCATATCCAGAATGGATATGCTCAACAGAATCTCCAGTAATGTGTTTAGCTTTTAGTGAACAACATCCACATCTTTTAGTGATTGGTAAAGATAACAATAATATATTCTTATAGATCTATATTAAATATAGTATTGTTATTAATAAGAAACTTAGTCTTCTTTTACAATTAAGGTACTACAGATGGTGCAGTAGCTGTCTATAATATCATGTTACCACCAACAGCTCCTCAATATAAGAGTAATGATGTTGTTCAAAAACATGGAGGTATTGTATGGGAGGTTCGTTTAGTAGTAAAAATATCATACTTTTAAAAGTATATTATACCATTGGTGCATTATTTATTACATGTAATGTTCAAGGTATGTTGGGCACCAGATACAGAAGAAGGTAATTTGGCATTTTACAGTGTCAGCATCGACGGAAAAATTAACTACTGGATATTAAATCAAAATGATCTTGGTTTAACAACTGTAATGACGTTGTTTTTGGACCGTCCTCCGATACCTGGACCGGATGGTACTATGATCACACTTAAAGGTAACATAATTCATCTTTTTAATATTAAACCATCACTTTGCTAATGTTTTTTATACTTAGGATGTGGAACATGCCTAGTATTTCATCCTGCAGATCAAAATATATTTTTAGTTGGAACAGAAGAAGGAACAATTTATAAATGCAATACAGCATATAGTAGCGTTTATATGAAAACTTATAATGAAGCACATAATATGCCAATATACAGAATAGTATTTAACAAATTCAATTCTAGCATATTTGCAAGCTGTTCAGGTGACTGGAGAATAAAAATATGGGAAGATGATAGAATGTAAGAATGAATAAACTAAATATTAAATATTTATAATTATTATATCCCTCTTAATTAATCTAAATGTAGGGAGCCTCTGTTTATGTTTGATCTTGGTGTTCCAATTGGAGATGTTCAATGGGCACCATATAGTTCAACAGTACTAGCTTGTGTTTCAAATGATGGTAAAGTTACAGTATTTGATCTAAATGTAAATAAATATAGACCAATATGTAGTCAACAAATTGTTAACAGAAAAAAAAATAAACCAACTCGACTTGCATTCAACAATAAACTGCCATTCATTATAGTTGGCGATGATAAGTAAGTATTTACGATTTTATTTATTACATGAACAGTATTATGGCGTTTACTTCAATACCTTAATTTATTATGTTTCATGCTAACAGAGGCACTATAAATACATTAAAATTATCACCAAATCTTAGACTAAAAGTAAAACCAACAAAAAAACAGCTTCATTTAACACATACGGAATTAGAAGTTATGAAATTAGAAAGATTATTAAGCTTTGTACGTGAACCGCCTGTATTAATACCACCAAAAGACGAAAGGACTTAATGAAATCAAATCTTTAAGATTTCTTTTTAAAAATAAAATCTATTTAGAAATTCTATGCTTCGGGTTATTTACCTATAATTTATACTAACAATTTTATTAATTTGTTTATACATCTATTTTAAAATGTCACTCTGTAACAATTGTATAACATCTTTTAATTTTTTGTAAACATCAACACTTTATTAACATTTTTTATAACAGAAAATACATATCAATATACGTCTTTATAAATAAATTGGCACTAAATTTAGAATACATTTAAAACATTATTATAATTTACAAATTTAAACTTACTATCTACAGTAGCTGTAACATTTTCTAAACTAGAAGCAATTATTAACCATTATGAAACTACTTTAATATTCCCTCTTGTAACTAGAGTTGTTAAAGTTCTTGCAATTCCATATATGTAACAATAGATCATAGCTTTATAAGACTATTTTTAAATATTATTAAAGAATAAATTGGAGCCATAGTTTACCAAAATCATGCACACTACCTATATATGTCTTAGGTAGTGTTGTATATATTTAAATATGTAGTTATTATATTTAATAATTTAAATTAACGTCAATAATTTAATGTCATACTCAAGTTTCTGTAAACTTAATATAAAATATTATCATTGCACAAATCTTATTTTCAAATAGAGTAATCACTGGCTATCACAGTGTCTCGTAAGATTTTTAAAAATATTAAAATAAATATTACGCATCGAAATAGATTACAATACTGAAATAAATAAGAAATAAGAAATAAATAAGGAAGATTTATTACAAAAGTAATTCGTATAAAAATGTATAAAAAAATTAAATAAAATTAATTCAAAGGAGACTATTCTTCGGAGTATCAATGAATACTAATATAATCGGTATATATTATTTTAAAAATTATTAAGTAGCCTATATTTAAAACTAAATGATTTCTAAATTTTTGGCACATCTGTGTTTTGTAAAAGAAAATTAAAACTGTAGCTGTTGAAATTTTATAACTCATCAAATAACATATCCCAATATTGTATTTAAAATGATTTAAAACTTTGTTAGGAACTTGTGACACTATTTGATAATTTATTGTTGGTAAAGTAGAGGAAATAAATAATTACTTAAATGTAACAAAAATTTAAGTTAACGTCTACATACTCAGTATGCATTCTAGAAAATATCCCTCTTTAACTATCACACTGAACCCCTAGTAAAATTACTAATAATTCGTACTTTATAATACAATTGTATTAGCACTTATGAAATACTGGAAAATAATATTTCTTTTACGAAAACACTACAATATATTTGTAATCCAACTTTTTAATAATATTTATTAATTCGGATATTTCAAAGTAGTAAGAAAAACATGTAAAACTGATTACATTTTTATGTAAGATCATTAATAATTATATAAGGTATGTTGTATATATAAGAATTATTTTATATTTTTATCTTTATATGCCATTTGCTACGAAATTAACATTTAATAAATATAAAACCTACAAAGAAATTTTACCAGGGAGCTCTGGATTCTCTATCACACCTCTGAAATATTTCAATTCTAAAAAATCCCTAATATTGTTTGGGCATGGCACTTGCCTGCCAGCAAATTCAATAGTAGACATTGGATGAAGAAATTGTTCTGGAAAGTCTTTATTGTTTAAAAACCATGCATCTTTAACCATAGAACCATTTTTTGCATAAAATGGAAGTACATTTACAGTTAAATGATTTATTCTAGAATACTGTACTTTAAAAAATTCCCCTTCTGTTGCCTTCTCCCAAACAAAACCATGATTATCAACAACTGGTTTATTCATAGCTTTAATTAACCATGGTGATCTCTCAAGATCATCACGGTTTACCCCTATTTGTACTTCATGATCCCATGGCAAAATATCACCATTCCTCATAGCACCAAGTAAAGATCCACTTTCTAACCAAAATCGGATACCAACCTCTTCTAATTTATCAAATACATGATGAGCAACTTTTCTCAATCCTGAGAGACAGCAAGGTGGAGTATATCTATTCTGATAAAGATATGATGGTACACCGTTTACGACTGATCCAAAGCATCTACTGCTTTCTCTTGAACAACCATACCATTCTATAGCATTGGAAAGCCTTATAACTTTTTTAATTCCTAATTTTTCAAACAGCGACCGTTCGCGGATTTGATGTAATTGTTGTACTTTCCACTGAGATTGTTGATTTCTATATAATGGCTTTCCTTCATTGAAATGATAATCAGATAATATGTGAATCTGATAACACATAGTAAAGCATGCTTTAAAATGAACATGACTAATTTATAATTAACAGTATAATGATAGAAAGATAAATAACAAACCTTTATACTTAATGCAGTTGTTTGAATATATAATGCATCAGTTAAAGGTAAAAGAAAAGGATCAGTTAATTTTCTTAATAGCTTTGTTTCAAACATAGTAGCATGCTTTCCATTCACACTGTCACATTCATTGCCTGTAGTATGTGAAAATCTGAGGCTCCATTCTTTTACTTTTAAATCTATGTTGATACAATTTAATGTTATGCTTCCTATTGGTATAGTTACTATACCTAATTTTGCTGTTTGCGCAATAGTATCCTATGAAAGAATTAATTTTAAATGAATATTTAGTAGAATACATCAGTAGTATTAATATTAATTTGATCTTTACCTGTATGATTTGTTTAGAAGGAAGTCTGCTACCATCAGGTAAATATAACACATACTTTGTACGTATGTAGAAAAGTGGATTTCTTTCATCATTAGATTTATTGAATTCTGGCTGCAAACTTACTAATTTAACATTTTGCATACTTTCATTGGCAAAATCTAATTCTAATGGAGGATATGGTAACTCATTGCATACTATTAAAATAGGTATAGTAGGAAAAAAGTTTAACACAGATTCTACAGTGGAGGTCACATCATTTTCAAATGTTTCAAATTGTCGTATAACTACTGTTACTAATCGAGCTAATCGTCGATGAAGTTTTTGCGGAGGATCAGGTGTTACCATGCTTGGTGTCAACAACCGCAAAGTATTTTGTGTTGTAAATAACCTCCATATCCTATGCCATACAATGATATTACCTAAAAGTGCAAGCACTAGTAATGTTCTTACAAACTTAAAGCGCATAATTATCGGGTATTTTGTAATGTCATTGTATGTCAAACTTTCTTTCACTTAATTCCTATACCATTGCACACCTAAATAATGTTTAAATATTTGACAAATTTCTTCGGCATGTTTCAATTCATACCTATTCAGCACTGCCAATCTACTACTTTTCAGTACAAAATGTGATAGTGATAATTGAGACACTGTTTGTGAATCTAAGCGTAAACTTATTATAAAATTATCAGTTTTAATATTATTTAACAAAGATTATGGTTTAGTCTAATGTTTAACGAAATTTAAAATCATGGTATGGTATAGTCTGGTAACATTATAAATATATAAGTTGAGAATACTGTTGGGCTGTTGTTTTTACATAAACGTCAAAGTCTACGTTTATGATACTCGGCGTTTCATTGAAGCTAGTAAGAAAGTAGCATTTAACCATTTGGTGGTTGTTCCGGAATAAATTGAAGAAAGAAAAGTACTGAAATTCAAATAAGTTTTGCACGAGTATCATTTTATTGATACACAATGCCTCTCCATCGTTACACTCATGCGGTTCTATGCAGAATTCCTCTTTCGCTTCGTACGAGAGGTGAGGTCACATTAGACGAAGCTAGAACGCAACATTTAGCATTAGCTCAACTTTTACGAGAACTCGACATCGATGTTGTTGAAATGCCACCCGATGAAAATTCGCCGCTTTGCGTTTTTGTGGAAGATATCGCAGTGGTCTGTAATGGTATTGCGCTTATAGCCCGACCGAATGAGCCATCGCGCCTAAAAGAGGTATACATAATCAATTTTCCTTCATTAAACATTTTTTAACTACACAGATATTATTTTCAGCAACTAATAATATTTTAGTTTAAGAGAGGAAAGTGCATGTTTGTAGTTGAAATTTATTATTTTACATATATTAGATTAACAATCTGTAACTTTTAAGATTATCTCAGTTATATTTGTACAATAAATATGAAAAATACTTATCAGGTATTTGTACTGTAGTATGTTGCATTGATATTTGTATTGTGCAATATTTCCAGCATATGAGGAACTAAAAAAAGGTGATGATCTAATTTCAGATTGAGACAATTAGAGCAGTCTTAAAGAAAGAGTTGGAAATTCCACTTATAGAAATAGCAGATAAAAATGCTCGCTTAGATGGAGGAGATGTATTATTCACTGGTATATTTTTCTTTATTTTTGATTGTAATTGAAAAAAAAATGTATATAAAAATGTACTCATTCAACTTATATTATTATAGGTCGTGAATTTTTTGTTGGACTGTCTCATTACACAAATGAAGCAGGTGCAAGAGCAGTAGCAGCAGCTTTCCCAGAATATCCATGTGTACCTATTAAGGTGAGTGTAACTTATTATACATAGGTATCTGCTTATCAACAATGTATTAAATTTACTTACTAAACCTTTATACAAAGCTGTTTTTAATGTGTACTTACTATTCTAAAGATGTAAAAGTTTGCATGATTTATTTAGTACAATATTTATTAAGGTAATTACTAATTGGTATCTCCTGTGTATTGGAACTTTGTTTGAAAGCTATTAAAAATTGTTGTTATGTAATGTATTTAATGTTATTAATAACCATAATTGTATTACAAAGAAATGTATATGTATATTGTGATTGTTTGCTATAGAATTATATTTATTTCTTATATGTTTTTAGTGTTTACACTACATAGTATTACTATAGATTGAAAGAACTTACTAACTTAAAATTGATATTGTTTAATCAATATCTTTAATAATAAATAAACATGTTCACACCACATTTTACAATTATAAAATAGGTACAAATACACACACATACATTGGGTTCAGAGTATGATCGATCAAAAAGAATATTAAGATCAGTCAACTTAATGTTTTGGTGTTTATTTAAAGGTGGGTGATGGTGGTGAAGAGGTGATAGTGGAGAGTCTTACCTCAGCCCCAATACAGGTTTGGGTGTACTAGACTGACTCTCTTTTGCATATTTCATTAACAAAAGAAACACGATTTTGCACGATTTCAACAAATTTGTTTATATAAATATTTTTTATAATTACCTATTACAGATTTTAATAAAACGCTTTTAAACAGAAAGTGTCATATAGTATGTCAGTTATGGCTTTGTGCAATCTCGCACACAGGGCACACAAATATACAAAATTGTATTTCACTTTCGCACGTGAATAATTTTTTCTATTGCATAAATATGTATATTTTTCACGTCATAGTGTTTTATATGATACCGCTTCAATCGATTATTATGAAAGAGTATAGATGTTATTACATAAAAAATGCAATAAAATTCATGTTTATAGGAGTTACTTTCCAACATTTATATTATTGTCAAGTTTTAATGATCGATCGAAGTTCAGAATTAGTATTCTGATTGAGTTTATTTTATTGTGTTTCATATGCAATGTTATACGAAATAGACTATTTGTAATTCCTTATTTCATGCATTGTGGATAAACATTACCAAACACTAAAAATTATGCTTAAGATTTTTGTGAATTTATTGTATTATAAAAAAATATGATCTTGTGATAATCTATAATTACGTTAACATACATGCGAGACTAAGAAGAATGTTAATAAAATTTGTGCATTATTGCATTTGTTATTACAATTTTAATCTAATTCAAAATTAAAAGTATAAACCTTTTTTTATAATTATTGCTTACAGGTTGCTGAATCAAAACGTCTTAAAGGCTTGGTTACAATGGCTGGTCCAGATATTATATGTGTAGGTGCTGGGAAAGAAGCACAAGAAGTATTGAAGGTATATTATTATAATTTTGTTATTTAATTATAATCGCTTATATTATATTATTTGTAATACAGAGAATTGAGAGGGAAGCAACATACTTTTACCGAACGTTAACTGTGCCTGAAGATGTTGCTGCCAATGTACTGTATGTTAATGGTACATTAATTCATCGATCAGAAGATGAAATTCCACAATCAAGTAAAGTCTTTGCAGAGAAAGTGGAATTTGCAACTAGATCTTTACCTATGTCCGAATTAGCAAAGGTTAGTTCTGGTTTAACTTCTTGTTGTTTGTTGGTACGTAGACCGAGACATATTCGCAGTATTTAAACCAAAAAAGGATTGATATACTTTAGCAAACATGTTGAATTGCTAAGAGTATATACACGAATCAAAAAAATCAAGAGTATGAATATTTCTAATAAGAAATATTATCATAATGCTGTGCAAAACCTTTAATACTGACGTAGCATTTGCGTCGCTCTAAAACTTTACTAACTACTTCAGTGAATAGAAAAGATTATTTTATTAAAAGATTATCTTAATATAAAAGAGATTTTATAATTGAAAAGATTAATATATTTGATTTTAACATATTTACAGTAGAGGTAATATATGAATACTTTAATTATTTGTAGATTTATATTATATAAAATTATGATTTATATCTTGCCATTTACACAAAAAGATTATTATCGTTTTTAATATTCTTCAACTTTATTGTGGCAGCATTTATAAACATAAAAATATTCTTATATATTTTTGTGAACATTTTCTGTGTTTGTTCACTATTTTTTTTAATTTTTTTTTTTTTTAATAATATTTGATTTAATATCGTACTATTGATCTTACCATCCAATTAATTCATTATCAAAGTCTAATATTAACAATTCATATTGCACAAAATTACTTTTTTATAAAGACACAAAATATATAAAAAAAAGTTAATTCGTAAATTATACAACTAAATCAAAACAAATTTTTAATATAGCACAAAACGAACAAAATCATAAAATTTAATAAGATATGACATTATATGTAGTTAATGTCTTCTACTTTTGATATTTTCCGTTACGTAATTAAGAATCAATTATTAGAAATTAATTGTCAGTATTCTGATACCCTTGAATGCATTTGCTACTAGTCTATAAAACGTGTTCAGCTACCTATTTGAATAGAGTTCTTCTATAATTCAATGATATATAAAAGCACTGATAGTTAAGAGTTAATGTGCTGATTCACATTATAGCAAAGTTACATGATTAAGAGTCTACAAAACAGAAAAAATAAAATTTCTGTATAATAATAGATTTCATATATACACAGTATATATTAAGATAAGCTTGAAATGTTTTTGGCAAATTTACAATGTCTAAAATATTAACACAATTTGCAGTATGAAGACGTATGAACAATTTTTTTAATATTCTTAAAAGTCATGACAATATTTAAGTGATTTACTCATACTTTTATATCTTTTGATATGCATGTTTCAAGTTCGAGCATTTCTTCTTTTTCAATAAGAATCCTTTTTTAATATGTAAATATATTAATTCCATGAATTTTGTAATTAAAAAAAAAGCTTTTCGACAAATGTTTCGTCATTTGTAATATTAGGTTTAATACTATTCTATTATAATTCCCTTGCATTTTTTTCGAAATGTGTAAGGCTATGAAGCTGTAAGCAAAATAAAAGTTAAATGCTAGACGTTATAGTCTAGTTCTTATCAATTAATACCCTAACCCGCGTGAACGATAATACGTATATAAGTATACTCGATATTACCATAATTAATAAAATAGTTGATTTATTCAAAAAATGTTTTCACAAAACGTATGCAATACTTTGTACGAATGAACAATATAATGAAGGACCTGTATTGCATTCGAGATTCCAAATTTTATACATAATTTTATCTCCTAATACAAATACATATCAATTTTAATATCAATATTAGGACTAGTATTTTTTGTTTTTCGGAAATACGCGAGACATAAAAGTTTATATTTGCTTATAATTATTCAAATTATCTGCATTGAAATAATTTTATTTAAACTGTAATGATTGTCGATCATCCTGTTTAGGAAATGAAATAAATACAATTATTAAAACTAGTGATTGCTAAAATTTAGAACAATTATAAGCAAACATGCGAAACATTTTATTTGAGGATTATTGAAATTAAATATCTGGCATCGTGGTTTATTTTAAGTATTTCTAATAGAGAAACAATTATTCTTTTATATTTAATGGTTCGAAATTTAGGAACGATTGTTATAGCAAACGTGTTATTAAAAAAATAATACAGTCATGCTGCATTCTTTGTATCCGAATATATATTGGTTCTTGGTAAACATGCATTCTTGGACATTAACTCATTCAGACACGTGTACCTTCTTCACGTAAAAAGAC